TAACTTCATTTTTTTAAACATTTTTTAATCTCAATTTTTTATTTGTTTATAATATTTTTTTATTTTAAAATATTTTAGATAGCGTCATAATATATCGGAGACGAAGTTGGCGAGTGTCTATGCACGAGACATACAGATGAGGATCGACATAGTTGGTCAATTCGCGGTATGCCATACGCTATTTTTTTTTTGAATCTTTTTAACTTTATATATTATAATTTTGATATTTAATATTTACAGTTCTCGTGGCTTCCATATGTTGACGAGAAGATCAACAGCGTATAGCCGACGCGATTCTTATAGGGGTCTCACTTATGGTGTGTCGTGACGCCGTTATTACACCAAGCAATTGTTGAGTGACACGAGGGTGATAGAGTGATGTTCCAGTTTGCGACGAACCAGTCGATTCCTACGAAAATCGTGGTTGATATGGACGCGCTCCATACAATCAATACGCGTGAGAAACATGATGAAAATTGGCATGTGCGCCACGCTTACTACAATGACCTATGGAATCAGTGTGAACTATCGCTCCTCCATCGTTGGGACATTACATCGCTAAACTTAGATTTCAACCATTCCCACTATCTTTAGATTTACGAATAAAATGGCAAACCATATCTCACGACATAGGTAGATAGGGTAGAATGGCAACATAATCAGGCCACACACACCAAGTCCAAGTCCAAGTCAAAGAAGAAAGCATTTGTCGTTGTCTTCTTCTGCTCCAGCATCAGTGGCTGAAGTGTACTATTACACATCTCAGTCTAGTTTCGATTTCAATCCTCCATTTCACACTTCAACCGAGACTCGACCGAATTATGTTGGAGGTTCATGAGATACATTGCAGTACACTCAAGCATCTTCGACAGAAGATGCAGTTGAGAGTGAGTGGGACCATATCCTATATGGTCACCAAAGGTATGTCGAAACAGTTACGACGATGATGGCTTCAAATGTCATAAATCTATCACCGTCTTTCGGAGGTGGATCAAAGAGCGTGTTGGGTACACCTCCTCGACAAGACGATGATGACGACAATGATCAAGGCCTATGACCCCGACGTACTCGACGAGCCTCACGGAATTATTATTCGACCACTCCACGACATCGTCAAGAACTTAGAAGACATAGATAAATTGATTTTTTACTTTGTAATTTTCATGTAAAAATTTATTTTTGACATTTTTTTATTTACTTTGTATTTCGTAAAATTTAAATTAATTGATTTTTTAATTATTTTTTATAATTATCCTCGGTCGAACTCATCATCTCCTTGGTCGTTACTACCCGTTGTACAATGGCTAGCCAACAACAACTTTTTTTAATTCAAAGGAGCTCGTCACCTCGACTTGACGAGTTTCATCGAATTATTTTATTTTATTTTTAATTAAAATATATATTGTTTTTAATGGATTTGTCACATCGACGTAACGAATAATTATAACCCTCAATTAAATAATAGTTCACATGAAGCCCACTGCACGGGATCATTAAAAAATAATATCGAATAAAATTCATCACCTCCAAGTGGACTGTAGCAAATGTTGTAGTTTGTTAAATAAAATACTGGTAGGCCCAATGACCTAAATTTTTTACCAGCCTGCGGTATTGGGCCAAAAAAAAAACCCAGATTCTGGTCTTTCAATTTGTGATGGAGGTTATTCGAGTTGAAACAGGTGCATGGCTCGGTGGGTTTTCAAGAGCTATTGAGCTGTGCTTGGTAATGGATACTGAGTTTTGGAGAGTTCTTGAAGGGCTTGGCTTGGCATGGGACTTTTATCTTAGACGTGTCGTTCTAGAGATTTGTAGTAAGGATATTTGCTTGTTGCTCAAACAAGGTGGAAGAATGGAGTTGAATTCTCGTTTGAAACCGTATATTGTTGACATGCCGAGTAGAGACTGACATATGGAGTTCGTACATGTGTTCCGAGAAGGAATTCAAGTCGTGGATGGCATGGTCAAATTAGCTTGGAGCCTCCCCTTTGGTCATCAAAATTTATGGCTTCCTCCAGTTGAGCTTCAGCTTCTGTGTCAAACTGATGCAGGAGGTATACCGGTCCCCAATGGAATAGTTAGCTAGCCTGCTTGTTATCTCTTTCGTATTAAAAAAATGAAATATAAGTCTCACACTGAGTTTTAAAAGGCGGGCAATGAAGGTAGTGCCCGCCTGGGTTGGTACGAAGCGGTTTACGGGAGGGGTGAGGATGTGCGCCTACGGGCTTTAGGTGTCGGGTACTTGGTGCCAGCGCCTTTACGCTTTTCAGATTTTTTTAAGAAAATAAGAAAAAATCACATTAAATAGAAAGAAGAAGAAGATAGACAGTGATAACAGGAAAAGTAGAAGAACAGCAGGGCATGAGAGATCGGCAGAAAATTCACGACAGAAAACTCTCATTTAATAAACTTTTATCATTTCAACCCTAATCCTAATACATATATAAAATTACTGATAAATCTACCCAAATCTATAACCCACTCTAATATTTATTTATTATAACAATCTCATAGCTTCTTTCACTGTTTACATGCTTTTATTGAAAAGTTTATTGTTTTTATATATTATTTTTATGTTCTTTTAATTAATTTATTTTATAATATATATATATATATAATTTTAAAATAGTAAAATATTAAATTTAATAAGTTTTATTAAATATACAAGTTAATTTTTATACTAATTTAAAGTTATATAAAGATTTTAAATTGATGATAAAATCAATTTATATCATTTAAAAATAAATAAAATAATTGTTTCAAATATTAAAATAATTATTTTTCTCTCTAAGAAATTCAAGTTTATGTAGTTATGTTTGGCGCGCCTTTCGTATGCAAAGCATGTTTGTACTATATAATATAAATCAAATTAACACTTTGACAACACATACTTTGTAGGGCAAACATGCATGCCCTTCTCCATGCTGTCTTCTGCCTTATTATAAAGCCTCAAGACCTCCTCCGAAGGCCCACTCTCTAAATCAATCTTGCAAGCAATTGCATGGTACTAACAGAGTTTTGCTTGCTCAAACTGCTGATGCCCCAATGCAAGAAGACCTTCATGAAAATCTGGTTTAATTTTCAATGATTCCTCATACCTCTTTGCCGCCAAAACATATTCTTTTTGTGCCCACTCATACGCAATCTAAACTCGGACTAACATAGATTTCCTCGAACCATCTTCTGTTAAGCTTACATGCTCCCTTGCCCTGGACATGTGAACATTTCCCCAGTTGAACAATGCCAGAGCAGCCATATCATGGAACTTATCTGCAGAGATTTCAAACAGCTCCTGCGCGTCTTCACTTGTCACAGCATCTGCCATTGCCTCGTAATATAATTTCATCCCAAGTTCATGAAGATCAAGTACGAATCAGTATCAAACCCAACATGGTTCTTAAAAAGTAGTGCAAACTGGACAATCCAATCATCCATGCATGTTCCCTTTATAGCTTCACTATTCTCAACAACATCATTCGATTTCTCTTCAGTCTTCACTTTTTTCCTCTTTACTTACTCCTCCATAAGCTGGTTCCTGGTCTGCACTAACTTCAACAATATAGAACCTAAAGGATCCTCCTGAGTCCTGATACACCACCAACTGATTCAGATAACCTAAGATCATCTGTTGAAGTCATGGCAAATTAATAGTACAATTCACAGGTAATTGCGCCCACCTAATATCCTCCCCCAACACCAACTTCACCGTCTTCGTAATCGCCTTTTCTTCCTCAACAGCCTTCTTCTCTTGCTCAACAATCTTCACAACAACCTCTTCATCCTTGACCTCATTGGCAAGACTTACCTTCTCCTCCACAACGGCCTTATCCTCCATTGGCTTCTCTTCCGTAACCTTATTATTGGCAGTCTTTTTGTTTATCTCAACATTCTTTCCTTCATTTTTCTTCTTCTTCTTCTTCAACTTCTCTTTCACCATTTTTCGCAACCGCGTAGCCCCAGAAGGCTCATTATCAAACAAACCAAGTTCATTTTCGTTAACAGTAATACCTTTCTCATCCATAGAGGTTTTTAACGCTGTCCAAAACCTCCAAAGAAGAAGAGTTATTGTGTTCAATAGTCAAAACATTATAAACATCCTTATAAGCTAAATCCAATCTGTTCAAAGCTTCATAACATCTAGCTCTTCTCAACAAAGCTTTGCTGTATTTTGGAGAAACCTCTAAAGCCAAATTACATTCATTGAAGGCGCGAGGGTACTCCCCGATGCCCAATTGCATATAACAGGCAGCCACGTTGCTGCGCAAATAAGCGACATCGATATGGTTCTTAGGGAGAAGGTTAAGGGCTTTTTCGTACTTTAACATCGCGCCTTCGTGGTCGCGTTTCTGGAAGAATCGATTATCTTCTTCTTTGACCTCCTGAGACATGCTGGTGAAGATCGCCGTGTCCTCGTCGAAGGCTTTGGAAGCTCGATCGGCGGCGGCGCCCTTGCTTTGCTTGTTGGATTCCATGAGTATCTTTTTTTTTTCTCGCTACATTTAATACATTGATTTTTTTTTTGTTATTACATTATTTTCTTTATAATAGCGTTATAAATGATCTTTTATATTGATGTAAAATAACGTCATTTCGGTTAAAATTTTATTTTTTAAAGAAAGAATTATTTTAATGCCGCTAATTATTTATCAACGGAGCAACAAAAAAATCAATGTATTAAATTAAATAAGATAACTTAAATATTTTAAAATTCAGTGAATACAATAAAAGAAAGAATAAAGTTTAACGATGAAATTTATAATTTACCTTTTTTTAATTTGGAAGGAGCCTTCTGTCTATGAAGTCCACTTTCTTAAATAAATGAAAGCCCATATTATTCTACTTTTATATCACTTTCAAAATATTGGACAAACTACGTATTTTGTCATTCATCTTTCTTTTGTTTTCTCCATAATTTATCTTCAATGGATATATTATTTAACGTGGACTAGATTTTTTTTTTCTGGGGAAAAAAGACGAAACCAAATATCTTGGCAAAGCAAATGAACCAAGAAAAATCTACCCTCAATACAAATCCTTTCATCTGATTATGCAAATCTTTAACGTTACAACGTACAAATCCCACACGGGAAATCTAACTGCCATTGTATTACAACACATTCAAAGGAAAACCTTATTTTTCAAGAGTCTTTGTCAGCTTCAGGACCCCCACTTATCTGTTTTGTGTGAAGGCGATGGCGTCTCTCCCGACCGAATATTACCCAGAAGATTAAAGAAAGCATAACTGCTGTAGAGACCATCACCAGCCCTGTATAAACCAATCTGCTATATCGGCGTAGACCGGGGCAGTGTTCTACATAAACGCCTGTGAAAGTTTCCCTCACAAATGTGCAGTCTTGTAACTGAACCAGGAATGGGGCATAATTGTACAATGCCGAACCCACGTTTACTACTGCTGTCATTTGGTCGTAAAAGGCCGGAGTTATTCGTCCGGTCGTAGTGCATATCCCGGTTGCAGAAACCTGACAGACATAGTTCCTCCATACCTGTAGTGAATCATAAAATCTTCCCTTAAAATACAAAGAACTTCCCTGTGCAGGTTAATAATGCATTGCATTGATGTTGTAGGGTTATATGAATTAAATTACCATGGTTGCATTATCTGCATTCACTTCACCGGGAGTGCAAATTCGCTCGGTAAGGTCGGCAAAAAACGGATTGCAGAGTACCGGTACCAAAGGACCGGATTGATTGAAGTACACGGTTGGGAAGTTTGGTGAAAAATTAATGTTGGAAACATTGGTTATGACCTGGTTAATTACTTCAACGAGCTGAGAAGTAACTTCCCTGCTTTTCATCAATGTCTCCTGGGTTGTAGCATTGTCGACACAAGGCAGTATGTCGTCTAAAGCCGTATGAGCAGTGGGGTTTTGGATCCATTCGTGCATTGCAACACAAGTATCTGCTGCCACACTAGCGCATCAAACGAAACATCAATCGGGTACTCGGGTTTCGAACTCGGAACAAGTGAGTCACAGAAATATAGATCGAACTATGATGGAACTTACTTATGGAGAACAAGGAATGTACCGCAGAGAATGAATGCTCCGGTGACAAGCAACCATCCTAGTATCACCAGGCTGAAATAAATACAGCATTAAAACCCTTTTGCTTAGAATGATCCTTGTTCGTAAACACCGGAGAATGAAATTTCATAGTTAACTTACATGTAAACAAGAAGCTGCATCCCGAAAATCGAAAATACTGAAACAAGAAGATTAGCATAGATACATTAACCAACAAACTTTCTAATATTTAGGGGAAGAAGAAATTCCAAACCATAGCAACTTACAGAATCCAAGATATGTCAATAGAAGCATGATAGCAGCTATTACAATAAGAGCCACTCTCCTGTAACAGCATTGAAACACAGCTTTAATGAACAAAGCTTTTCTTAAACAGGTAAATTTCAGAATCCTTCACTTACACAGAATCTAGAAGATCTCGAATATCATCCGAGTTATCCTCCGTTTTGTCAGCTAGAGCGCCTGCGGAGGAGATAATTTTTGTTCCTATGTCGTCGATATCGGTTTGGACATTAGAAGGTACAAAAACTTTATCAACTCCAACCTGCTTTGCTGTTGCAAGAGAGTCAGACACATCCTTTAGTTTCCTAACAGTCAGGTCAGCTTGATTCGCAACATATTGTAATGTTTTAGTAGTGCTACTGTGAAACCTCTCCTGACCAACATATAGTACAATGCAACCGAGCCTGAAACAGAAGAACAAAGCATTAAAACTTGAGAAGTAGTATGCCATTAATATTCAACATTAAGATGACAGGAGAGAAAGATGCATTTACATTGCAGCAACTGCGAGCAACACAAGGAAGATGAGAGAGGTTACACAAGCGATTCGGGAATATCCATACGGCCGCCTTTTGCGGCAGAAATAAATGACCAAAATTAGCAATAAGCAGAGACCAAAGCCAACAAACCAGATTGCAGCAATTGCAAATAGGGGAACTGCAGTATAAGCAACGGACTGCACTTAAACAAAACTAGGAATGATTAGCCAGAACATAAATATTTAACTGATACCTACAGGCTGCAATATAGTCAATTACACATAATCCAACTGCTAGGACATGAAAATGGATCAAAAGTACTAAAAAAAAACTTAGTGCAAACAAGAGGTAAAACCAAGTACAAAGCCAAGGACCCTTAAAGGGTCTTTAAAGGATCAATAAAATTATTAGCTGTAAGTGTTTGGTAACACTAATTACTGGTATAAATCTTGCTTGCTATGTATAGAAATTATAAATGCATTGCTCGGTGTTGCTAAATACAGTGAACTTTCCAACTCTCTAATGATCTTATTGAAATAGCTCTGGGAACGGTGGGACCCTAACCAGAATGTTTGATAATCAAGAATACCCCACGTGTCAAAATCACACATACTAAAGGACCTATATGTAAAATCACCAACACATTCAAAACTTTGAACCAGAATCAAGGGTCCAACAGCCATCATATGCAGGCAAGTGGAAAATAACTGGATATGAGTAAACCGGCATGAAACATGATCATGTCCGAAAAGATGGATGGAAAGTTAAAAAAATCATCAAAATGGTTCATCTTGACTGTGGGGTCTGAGTAAACTTACAGCCCAGTAATGGCGCTCCCTGAAGCTCCATCCTCCCGTGTATCTCTTGAAGCCGTTAAGAGGATCTTTTCTGCAAGTCCTTCGAGCAGCCAAAACAAGGGATGAAGAAGTCGGAACCTCCAATGGCGGAAGAGGTTCACCAACCGGAACCTCCACCGCTGAAAACTCCACAGCACTCTTTACGTCACTTCCATTTTCTTTCCCTGAAAATGATGAACGTCAAGATAGCAGTCACATTCATTCTCTTTTCAGCCCAATTGCTTAATAACGTCATGCATGTATTGTTTGTAGTAAGGGAGGAGAACAAGTGAAGTACCTGAAGCGAGTTGTACGAAGGGTGTGGGAGAGAGAGAAACAGAAACTCCATGGGAGAATGTTGAGGAAGTAGAAATTAGGAAGAGAAAGATCATCACAAGAGAAAATGGCTGTGAATTCCAAGATAAATCCTTCACCATTCTAACTCGTAAAAAAGAGAGGAATCATTAACGGAAAGCGAAAGAAAAATGACACAAGATTGAAGAGGGAATTAAGGAATGTGGATTAGGAAGTAGTAAACAAAGAGAGATGAGCAGCATTGATACATTCACAATAAAAAATAAAAACGACAGACATTTTTACAGATTTACCACTCTGTAATTGTACTGTGATCCTTCGTTGTTTTTGAAAAAGGTTTTGAGACGGAAATACCCTCGTGGATTCATATGTCCCAATTGTAGATTTAATTTTGCTTGTATATTAAATTTAATAATTAAATCCTATCAAGTAGTCTCAATTTTTTTTAACCAAAGTAGTCTCAATAGTGGTTAAGAGGGTGTTATTTTTTCTATTAATCATATATCAAAACAATTATATTGATAGGGTGAACGTATATTATTGATGATTAAAAAATATTTATAATTATTCGACCACCATCTATAATCATAATAACCTATTTGTTCCATCAACAAAAATCATAATTTTACATAAACAATAATAGAATAAAACTCAGTAGAAAGAAGTGGTTATCAATCTTAAATAAATAAATAAATAAATAAAAAGCTGCTAATACTGCAATTCAAACTTAAGGCGATTACACTCTGCATGAATGTGAAAATGGGGCATAAAAGTCAAGGAAAGGAGGAAAATGGGAATGGACCCAATAAACGCGTATGAGGAGCTCGCTCCCCAAGGAAAAGGGATTAGGCTTTGAGTTTGTCCATGGCAGGCATTCCCATATCTTAGTTTTTGGATTCCAACTAAGGGCAACACTCCACAATTTCCGGTTCTATCAGTTTTTCTATTTGATTTACTCTTCGATTTTAAAGTTTCGTCTTTTTAAATTAACTCAGGTTGTATATCTGATTTTTGTGAGTGAATCTTTCAATAAGGATTTTTTGTATATATAAAATCTCGAACTCGAAACTTACTTAAACGATATTAAGCTTGTTATGACTTACCCAACCAATTTTACCAACTTTTCTACATCTTCATCTTCCTGCCTTTTTATTCTTCAACATATTATATAATGTTATTATCAATAAGTACTTGTCATTAAATTCAATCAATATGTTCAAATTAATCAATCAAAAAAGATTATTTTCTGCAACATTACTAGTTAATTTGTTTTGAAATGTATTCCAATGTTCCAACTTCCACCAACGCGAGTATACGTATTGTGATGGAAGGATTAGTCCCTCGGTATATACCAGGGGCGGATGCATTAAGCCCTGTATGGGTCAAGTGCATCCTATTATTTTTGAGTAAATGATTACATTTAATTTAATGTGTTAAAAAATAGAAAAAATAAAAAAAATCATATATATTATTTTTAAGAAAAGAAAATTAAAATTTTGAACTATATTATTAAATTTTTGGATCCGTCACTAGTATATACCTTATATTATATATACCTATGGCTTAACTTATACTGTCGTCTATTGGTATAAATACGTTTTAATTTCATGAATTTGTTTTTCAAATATACTGTTGAAAATGTTACATTACTCCCTACTACTAATGTTCGAAATCAAAATACTATGATGCTATTCCAGATTCTTATAACCAAATGTCCCCGATGCATGGATGGAAATCTTGCAAGTTAGAGGGTTGAGTTGAGAGTCCAATGGGCCTAAAACTGAGCATAGATCCTCTGTGTTAGCCCATTGCCCAGGTTAAACCCCTCAGCAGTTCGATTTGAAAGCTTACATTGCTGTAATTTCAATGAAGCCGGATTCATCGTCGAAGATATATATGATGTTGTGATTGATCTGGATTGTCTCCCATTTACATGCACCGATCACCATTGTTTTAACTTCTGCATGACTTCCGGTTGCTGTAAAAGGTACATGAAGAAGATTCACCTTACTTTTTCCCTTTGCTGTTGGATGGATTTGTGTGCCAGTTCCTCTTCCTCTGATTGATGAACCAATTGTTTATCTGTTTTAATTGTAAACCCGTTTGCTCAACCAACCTCGCCTTATCTTCCTCCTGCAAAGCCAGATGTTTAGGGTTCAGGGTATGGACGCTTGGGGTTGAGGGTTGAGTGTCCTACAACTTACAGTCGGGTATGGCCACTTGGAGTGCGACTGCCACCAGGCTTTTAGAACTGAGCCGGTGTCACCAGGGAGTTTTCCCGCCCTTCTCCTGCGCAAAATTTCCTCCCCTATGTCAACAATCTTCTCCTTGTAACCCTGTTAAGGATCCACCCGTAGCCTTATTTCTCTACAAAATCAATATGTTTCGTGGATTGATTGGTTACCTGTTTGAGTTCATGTTTCAATTCCTGTCTCACACGCTCCATCAAACACCTTTCACTGTCTGTTGGGGCGGGACCGGAGGCCCCAATCCCATTGAATCTGGTCCGTCCAAACCGCCATCAAACATGTTGCCATCACCGTCAACTTGGTCTTCTTCATCATCAGTCAACTTGGGATATTTTCCAAAACATCATCTGCTAGATTTGTAGACCGTACCTGTTATGCTCTGCAAGGATTGCTCAATTTCACAACAAGCCATAACTGCTTCCATTGCATGGACCCGAACATGTTGCAATTGCTCTTTAAACGAACATAGCAACAGAACATAATGCGTCTACAATATTATCAAGACAGATTAAAGGTTCAATTTTTTTCCAACTTCAGACGGAAAAAGATGCATTAAAATATATAAATGCACAAGTATTTTCACATTCATTATGGGTTCCCTACCAACTCCTCCTCCTCCTGCCACCGCTGCCATGTCGTCCATGAAATCAACGTTGTTACGTTGGAGAAGCGAAGATGGTAAACCGCAGAGCCACTGGTAGGGAGCCATGATTCGCCTTGTCCATAATCATAATCATGGAAGGGCTAGTGTTTGGTGTTGAGGACCTAGTTTTGCACTTTATTTGATGTATTCTTTTCAAGGAACACTCGTCATCCAAGCAATCGTGCAATGCCGAAAGCACAATGGGTATCTATCAAATTTGGGCCAACGATAAAAAAATAAGAGTAAAATATACTCAAGTTACTCAATTTTTAGTTTAGTTATAGGTATTTATTGAATGGTTTCAGTGATTCAAGTGATTTGAAAAGAATTGTTTTTCTTAAAAGTCTTAAATTTGAGCAGTTATATTTGTAACATATGTGCGTAAGTTATCAATTAATGGTTAAGAAAAATGCTCAGGTTAATAATTGGGTAGTTGTTCTTGAATGAACAAGATGCCTTTTTTCTTTATTTATAATCATTATTACGTTTGTTTTATTTTAATATTGCATGGCTTTTGAATCAAATTTGTGTGAAGATTGATGTGTTGAAATATCCGAGGTAAGTTTTATGATAATGGTTCTTTGTTGTTGTTGGCTTTATTGATATGTTCAAATTATGGAAGGTATTCGACGTTGACGACAAATTGGCTACACTCGGATGAGTTTGTGGCTTTCATCACTTTCTCATTTATCGTGTAAACTTTTATTGAAAAAATGAATTAATTTATGCGATGACACACCAATTTGTTTTTGTTGCATGAGAGAACTCGACAGTTTTCATGGTCGACAAGTGCAGTTAATTAAAGCTGAATTTTCCCCATTGATGTTAACGTGGCCAGGCAAACTCACTCGCATGGAAAAGCAATGGACCAGTTACTGACGCAGGAATTAGTATCAAGTAGTGCAAACATAAAATATTATGTTAAAACCTTAAGGGTGTGAAATTATAAAATCTCATAAGATGCGAAATTAAATAATTTATATAAAATATAAGAGAATTTTAAATTTCGGTTCATCCCTACAGTAGACAAAGATCGAATAATAATCATAAATTAGTTTGGTTATAACTAACTTAGTGATAAAAATATACATGCTATCTTATCATTTTGGATAAACTCGTAAACTGTATTCCATGGATTCGAAATTTTCACATACTTGTTGACGAATATTGCAGGTTCGTTTTTGAGATAAGATTAAAAACATGAATGATTTTTCGTGAACTGACAAAAGAAGAATCAAACACTGTCATAATCAATGTACATAATCATAACAGATGAAAAAAAAATTAAAAACACGTGGTAACTAGTACTGTCGATTAGGAATGGCAACGGGTCGGGTTCGGGGCGGGTTTTGCTCGCCCCGTCCCCGAACTCTAAATAAATCCCCATCCCTGACCTCGACCCGATCCCCGACGGGTTTTTTATCGGAGAGCATCGTCGGGGATTTTTTTTGCCCCGTCCCCGAACCCGACCCGAAATATTATACTCAAACCCGAATCCGAACCCGATATCATTCAACCCGACCCGAACTTGACCGGGTTTCAGGTTTTCCCGTCGGGTTCGGGTCATACTGCCATCCCTACTGTCGATGATAGGTTTATTGCAATTCAAGTGGGCTAAAAAAAGCAGAATGGGACGGTATTCTCTAGCATCAATGGGCTTATTATATGGACACCGGTCGAATTGCCTAATGTAGGCTTCTGCCGGCTCATACGATACGAAATCAAAACTTATCAAGTCCGCGAAAGGGTGAAAAGCCGGGTACCCATTTTGGAATTTGGATGTGTTTCTCTCTCACACTTGAAAAGCATTTAGGGTAAATTACAAGTTTGATCTATTTTAATTCTTAAATTCTCAATTTTTCAAAATCATATCTAGCGTTTAGTTTTTATTTCATTTTAATACCCACAGTTTAATACTTAACGGATAGGCTCGTCGGCCGTAACGTTTACAGTTGTCGACTATCGCATTTGTAGATCGATGAAGCCCAAATATTGCAGTTTGTACCTTTTCGACCCCCTAAACAAGATTTCAACCTTCGTTTCACAAAAAAAATGCTTCGATCTCTTAAATCGCTGATGGATTCTACTTCCTCATCATCTGGTCTCCATCGTCAATCGTCTGATGGGTCTAAAACATAATTATATTGGTCGACTTGTCATTCTCTCGTGATCCATCGTTCAGATTGATTGTTCGTCCATTAAAGCTATTCGCTATCAGCCCATCCGTAAGTTTCTAAGGGTGGAATACTGAATAAAACAAGAACTACACCTGAAAAAAATAAAAATTTAATTATTAAAATAGACAAAAACTAATAATTTAGATACTAAATATATAATTTACCCAAACATCTATTAAAGACAAAAAAGAAAAAGGAAGGTTAATAATCACGCAGATACTATGCAAATCCATAATGCATAATCCGACAATTACGATATGTGGTACCAAAGCACAAGGGTAAAAACAAAAGCAGGTGTGCCCAATTTCAAAGGTTTGGGGTGGTGGCATCGTTTTTGACCAAAACTCTAATAGCCGTGATTCTTACAACGCTCCTTTTTCAAAGATCGGAAATTTCAATCATCAGGTTAGAACCTTTTGTGACACAGTCAAAGGAACAACACTGACAAAACCTACTGAATAGCCAAAAACCAAACACGATCTTTATTTAGGTCGTTATCCAGGTAAGCGTCGGTCAAATATACAGCCCTATGATCCTGTCGGAAAAAAAAAATTGAACAAAACGAAAAATTTTACCAGTCATGAAGAAATAATATCAATCCTTGCTGAAATTTCAACAGAGTTCTTAACAACATAATTCTGAGATTAGTTTTTTGTTTCAAGAAGTTTATACGGCCAAGCCATCAGGTTACACCTACACAGAATCAGTCATTTCGATATAAACTCCTAAATATCGAGTAACGAGGTTTTACCCCAACGAATGTCAGAGGAATGCAGGAGGCCGGCACCATGGCAAGAATCTTTGCCATCAACACAGGCTTGGATTTCTGCAATACTCTGCATATCTTTTCTTTTTCTTTGGCCGGTCAGCTTCTTCTGCCTTTTCAAGGGAAGCAAGCTCAAACTGTGATATTTGTTGCTTGTCGTATAGTTAAATCAGTCAGCACATGGATCATTGCCTAGGCCAGTGTCCCCCACCAGATTCTCACAACCTTTTGCTGCTAGAGGGGGGGGGGTTTAAAGTAGTCGAATCATCTTTTTCAGGTGGTGCCATATAAAGTATCGATGACGGAATCATCTTCAACGGGCATAATATTTAGATCAGGCAGTACAGCTTTCCCTACATCGCAAGAATCTAACAGTGCTTTACTATCATCAAGGGCATGTGAGGGAGTCGAGGGGACTCTCTGACGGGGTAAACAGGAAGGTACTTCCTCAGCTTCATTCTTTGCAATTTGCAAGTTCAAATCAAGCTGTGCAATAAAACAAGTTAACATCAGGAAGAGGGCAATAAAAGCATTCTCAAAAGGAAATAGCGGTTTCTTGATAGGCCAATTATATGCAAAAACTTGTACACTAAAAAACATTCTGCTGACCTTGATTCTTTTCAAGTTCTCATTCCTGGCTCTCTGTTCTGTAAATGTAGCACGCATAGATGCCATCTCCTGTCCAACGAACACGAATATGACTGTAAGATTATCTAGAAGCAATCAAGGGGGCATATGGAGTTCAAGCAAAGCACCACGTTAGACGCACCTTTTCCAAATGAACCCTTTCCTTCAAAAGTAAGCTCTCCTCTTCCTTGAGTTCGGCAAATGTCTGAAAATATGACGAATTCTTCAGAGTTAAGATACCACATGAATCAACTTCCTACTGCTCTTGCATAAACCATAAAGATCAACTATTTTACCTTCTTCCTTCTCGATCTCTTGGTAGTTGTGCCAGTGGTTTCATTGCCAGCGGTACCCTGCAACATACATAAACCAATAGTCAATCTTAGGCCCAAGGCAAGAACCAACAAATTTCTTAAGAGGATTAATACTCCACCGCAGCTAGGAAAGTTGGGTCAACTAAAACCCTCAAAACAATTAAAATCTAACTTTGATCATAAGCTCCAATGGCGGATTTGGAGATCATCTCAGAGGACAGCCAAGTAGAAATTGGAAAGCCAATGCCACTGACCCAGCCGCTCCTTCTCACAGAATTGATCCAATGGTAACTCGCCACGTCTTTATCACAATGATGCTAGACACATGATTTAATTCAATGTGTATCACCCCGGTCGACATCACGTGACTTTATATTGTATGACCTTTCTGACGGCAAAGAGTTATTGGGTCACTACGTGTATAAACCTAGGCTTCCCAGCACCGAATAAATTTTCCACAAATCAGACGGTCCATGATCCATGAGATGATAATCACAGAAGATGGGATGTGTGGGCCCAGATTATAAAAGATATCCCATCTCGGAAAAAGCAAAAAATGTAGCAGGACAAACACGAGATTAACATATACAAGCACAGTCACAAATAGCATATGAAGAAGGCCCACATAATTTAACAGTACCGCGCCACACTTGATAATCTCTCTCCTCACAAACCAAATAAAATTAATAAAAACAAAGCTACCATCCGCCCCCTAACAACATTACACCAAACACAGAACGCATACCAACACCTCATGGACCCTACCTACTTATTATATTATGACCAAAATACCCTTAAAGGAGATCGACCCTCTACGGGGAAGTTTCCCGGCTCACACGGTGGGGGAGGTGGATGGGCCAAAATAGAGCCATTTATATCCCCTGACAAATTGTCCGGCCCAGCGAGTAGAATCTAGAGGGGGTTGGAAAGGTAATTTAGTAAATCTAGAAATAGGAAACAATAGAATGACAGCTGACCAAAAACGAGGCGAGGAGAAAACGTCAAAGGAGTTCCAATCTGCTTACAGTGTTGTCCTCGCGTGGAAAATGTAAAACTCCTTATAAGCGGCAGGGCATTTTAGTCCAAACAGAAATAAAGATACACTGCTTGTCTAATGGTTTATTCATTTTGTTATAAATGTTAGCCTGATAAACCGGTGATCGGATAGATCGAGTCCGACCTTAAACGTTGAAGATTACGAAAAACGTACTAAAAAAGGGGGAAGATTAAGCCTCGGAGACTTTTTGGAAGGAAAGCTTATCCGGCTGAAAATGAAAAGGAAGAAAAAAAGTACAATCGGAGATTAAAGAGGGGTTAATTTGACCTGGAAACTAGGAGTTTAAACAATAAAAAGGAGTTATCCAGTTAGACAAGTATGTCTCGTCGACGGAATACAAACGAAAGTTGATGATAGTGGCACGTTATTTTCCATGTGATGAAGGTACCAACGAATGATGCCACCGAAAGATCAGCTGCTGAGAACGAGAATGAGAGATGAGTAAAAAAAAACCTTGGATCTGGAAGGTACAGTAGGCGGAGAGCGAGAGACTCGTTTACTGGTCTCTTCAAAGCCATAGGCGGCGTAAGGAGAGGCAGCACCGTCGCCGCCGCCGCTCCAAGAAAGAGGCGTTGTGGGGCTACGTCTAGCTCTGACGTTGAAATCTCCGTGTCTCTTGGCTTCGCATCGCATCGACATAGCCTTAGACCTCGGCTGACGTATCCCCCATTTGAGTGCAACCACCGCAGATTTCGGAGCCGGTGGCGCAGCCTGCGCTTGTTTGAGCCTTACCAGTAATTCAACCACCACGTTGTCGTCCTTCATCGCCGCCCGAATCCACTCATCTTTCACCGCCATCGTCATCATCATCACCAAAACCCAACGAAAAAAGAATAAGAACCCAGATGGTGACAAAGAGTGTATATAAAGAGAAAAGATAATATATGGAATTTGTAAGAGGAAAAGAGAGAAGAAATAGGGGTGGCGAGGAATGAGAAAAAACAAAGGAAAAAAAGGTTAAAAATGTGAGGAGGATGGGTGTGTATATATATATATATATATACACGAGGGCGCCTTTTTCTTTTTCTCTTTATTGTGCTAGGGTATTTATTTTGTTTTAATATCAACAATTTCTTTTACAGTATTTTTTAAAAAATGGAAAATGTATGGAAAGTTGTTTGTGTGGTGGAGTAGATTCCAGTTTTTGGGAAGTTCTACAGCACCTTAATATATAAACAACACTTCACACCTCTTTTGTTGCTCTCACCCCTATTTTATATTTTTTTAATATTTTATAGTTGGCTTAATTATAAAATAAATATCTAAATTATACTTTCTTTTTAAATTGGTATTCAAATTTTTTTAGCTCATTCAGGTATCTAACGTTACAACTTTAGATGATCGGATCGTAATTACCATTAAACTTTGTCATTAAAAGACACGTGTCATGTTTTGATAATTTTTTTTAAAAATATTTATAATTAAAAACTAAAGTTATATTTTAATTTTTTTGAAATACTTTAAAAAAATCCCAAAACTTTAAAAATTCTTATTTCAACCTCTAAACACACGTCAATCGTCGATGAAGTTTCACCTTAACTTACCTTCACATGACAATTGATAACCCTATAAAAAGGCAATCAATCTACGACCAATCAACGTTTGTACCTCGATGAACCCTACGTAGCAAATCGATACACTATATGATCTTGACGGTAAGTATGGCGTCTATGACTAGGAAGATGATAAGAACTACGTCGCAGCGATGGTTGTGGCCTACAAAGACAATGTCGACGGGTTAAGATTAGGGATTTATGATTTTTATGGATTTTGGGGTTTTCTATAATTTTAGAGAAATTAAGTTTTTTATAAATAAAATAATATTTTAAACAAATTAAAATAAAATGTTTAAAATTATCATAACGTGACACATGTCACTTGATGGAGAAATTTAATGGTAGCTACGCTCTAAACACCTGAAGTAATAACGATTGTAATACTAGGCGTATGAATTATCAAAAAATTTAGACACCTATTTAAAAAAGTAGTATAATTTGAGTACTTATTTTACAATTAATCCTTTATAGTTTTGTTCTAGATGAGAAAAAAGAGTGTAGGGTCCATGGATGACATGAGAAGCTGACAGATTTCAAAGTTCAAATGTGATAGGATTCTATGGCTTGGGAAATTGATAACCCACCGCCGTTCATTCATCTTTCCATGTTTTTTTTATCTCAATATCTATCTCTATGTATACATGTATGTTTTTTTAATTATGTAATTATTTTAAAATAATAATGTATTTTATTTTAATCCTCCATCCATAATTAAATTTGGCAATTTACTTAACATAAATAGTAAAGTAATATAGCATAATAATAATTTTACTATTGAAATTTATACATTCTATCAAATTGATAACTTAAAAAACTTCAATAAATCTCTAATATTTCAAAATTATATCAAATTATTCTAACATAAAATCCTAAAATTATTCTCTCGTATCTTGATCTTTCTCAATACCCATTTTCCAATGTCGTCGTTGTCTCCCGTTTGCTCAATTATAATCATTGTCTCTGCAAGTCAATCGTACACCAATTATCTATCCCTTATAATATCATTTACAATAACAGACGTAAGATTTTATGATAAAGGGTAAACTTTAAATTAAGGCCAACAAAAATTTTCCTAAATTTTAAAAAGTAATTTGACGAACGATTGAAAATTAGGAAATGATTGGGCGACACAGGAATGATGAACGATAACGTAAAGATGACGGTGGGAGATAGCGATGAGAGTTACGAATGATGTGAGGATGATCGATAGTGATGAACTAAAATAAAAATAAATTATCTTGATAAATTTTTTCTTTAAAAGTTTAACTTCTGAACTTTTAAATTACTTATATTTTGTTCACTCAATCGACTTATTTTTTAAAAGTTTAACTTCTGAACTTTTAAATTATCGATAGTGATGAACTTTTAACTTCTGAACTAAATTAAAGATGTCCGCTTATACACACACGTTCAGATGGACTAACCTCGGCGTCGTTGGTTTTAAAAATTTAAAATTATTATATATATTTTATTAAAAATTTGTTTTTAAATTCGGCTTTTAAAATTCTATAAATTTTAATTTATCTCGTAACGTAAAACTCTACCCGTACCTCAAAACATAAATTTTATAAATTTAATGTCGGAATCATAGTTTTATCTACGACAATTTTAACATACCGTATCTAGAAGTTTACCCACAACCTCTCAACAAGAAAGTCATGTCTAATATTAGATCAACTACTCGTCTGACACTATCTCCAAATACAGTTATTGCCAAAAACAAGCATCTACAAGGATTAAACCCGCATTTTGTGCGTCTACTAGAATAAAACAAGCATCTACAAGTGATGGAACTTAACTCTTACATTCATAGTTCTTATTTTTCCTTTCTTTGTAATTAGAGGACGGATCTGGTTTGAATCCTGGATAAAAGTTATTAGGGTAAATTACGCATTTAGTACCCAAACTATTATTTTTGGTCTATTTTAGTACTTAAACTTTCAATTATTTTCAAAATCATACCTAAAATTTAGTTTTTATTTTATTTTAGTACACCGTTCAAAATGTAACGTTAAGTTTTAAAGAAAAATTTGAAAGTTTTAAAGAAAAATTTGAAAGTTTAAGTACTAAAACGGACCAAAATTGATAGTTTAATGTTAAACACACTAATTTTTTAACGACAGGATATTAAAATAAAACGAAAACTAAACATTATGTACGATTTTGATTTTTTTTTTTGAAAATTTAGATACAAAAACATATCAAAACCCTAAATGCGTAGTTTATCCAAGTTATTAATACCGCTTGAGCATGAAAAGGATGGGCTTCATAACTCCATCTTAGCATAAAGAATCTATAACAAGAGCTAATAATCTTTTATTAAGGTAGAAAGTTGGCATTTCCTAAATTCTTTAGCCTAATGATTCAACTCAACTCAACCCGGAATTCCTTTTTTGATTTTGGTTGGGGATCATTCGTCAGGGTGGCCAAAAATGAAGTAGGTAAACCCTCAAAATGTATAACCAAACTCTGCACTTCTCGGACAGTTATTGAGGTCATGTCATTGATGAGAGAGCCTCACCATTAGCCTCTGGCATGTGGGTTGATCATTGAATAACACCATTTACTGGAGACCATTCCTCCACATCCCGCCCGGTTCTCGGTTGGTGAAACCTTAAATTGTGGACATGGTTTCTATTTATTCTGCAATAAAGGAACCCCATTTCCGGGACCAATGCTACCATCTTTTTTTTTTTAATTTACAGTCGGCTATGCACATTGTGTCAGCCATGCAAATGGATGTTTCCTGTTTCTTAAGCACCTGCACAGTGAAAATCATTGCCCAAATCAGAAACACCATCATTTGATTGTTCACAGTCTTTCTCACTCGGTTTCGTTGGGCCTGGTTTCGGCTATTCCACGAATATGTTTTCACTCGTTTTCGGCTCAAGCCGTGGGCTTATGCATGTTCATTGGAATAAAAACTTTAAAATTCATTCTAAGCCCTACTTTATTTATTCTTCGAATAAATCCTGATCATTTTCTGCTGCTGTTTTCACTTGATCATCATCGTGTCCATGAATTATAGCAGGCAAACGTAATTTTACTGAATCCAATTTTTGTATTCCAATGGTTAGGATAATTGGCTTCCAAGCAATAGATCTGAGTCCGACTTCCGGCAAAGGCAGCATAACTCTATTATTGGTCATTGCGAGTTGGGTGGTACTTAATTCGTGTTTGTTATAAAAAAAATTTTGTTTGACTCATTACTCATTAAAGTCATCGAATTTTTATCTTATTTTTTTAAAATATATGTAAAATCTACAAAAACTATATAAAGATTAATATAAACATAAATTAATAAATTTAATAAAAAAAAATATCAAAAGAGTGTATGAATCAATTTCAAAGTCTAAACTCTAAAGTAACAATCCACAAATATATTACAATAATAAATAAGATTTGATTTTTGAGTATAGTAGAATATTAATTAATAATTTAGCATATTTTTTTATTTATTAGAAATTTAATATATTTGTTATTTATTATCTTTTTCTATTAATAAATTAATAACTTTTTGAATGAAATAAATTTTTTGAAAACTACTAAAAAAAGTATATAAAAAATAACGAGTTGCTCGCGAAATTATCAAGTCGTTAAAGTTTTGGGTCGAACTCGAATTTGAATTGAGTCAACCCAAGTTAATTTTTTTTATCGAATTTTGACCAAACTGAATTCAAACTGTTTACAAGCTGATCAACTCATTAATCACCCATAACTCTTCCTTTGAAATGTTACTAAAAATGAAGTTTGGACTCAACTCTAGCATAATCCATTCATAATATCTATGCTTAATTCAAAAAATAACAACGTAATAAAAATGTATTTTCATATAAATATTTGCATTTTTCTATAATTAAGTTTTAAATAAAATATAAATAAAATTCTTTATTTATTTAGATTAGACTGGATCAATCCATCAACTAAAAAATCACAAGTATAGCATGAAGGAATTAGACTGTCTTAACTTGTGAGGATGTCCTTTGGGGAGCTATAATGTTGGGCCTACGTTCAAAAGTTTTGTTTGACAAAATTATATTTTAGCCACTAAAATTCTACTGTTCGATCAAATCTAAAAATTGCACTTTAGCCAATTTTCTTTGATCTAAAATATATAAATAATATTTTCAACTATTTTATAATATCCTTCAAATTTTCATAAAATTATGGTTCAATCCGATTATCCAATTTCAATACCGAATTTTATTGCTTTATAACATTTTAGTCACTAATCAAAATTTTGAGTATTACAACTCGGCCGATGACTCCCAGCTTACGCACATTCAGCACTCCTCCGATTGAAGTGCAACAGGTGATCTAGCGGAAGCTGGCAACTAGTGCTAGTAGCTCGTTCTTTACATTAAAAAAGAGAGACAAAGCTACTCTTTTTTTTTTATAATTAGATAG